ACGCTCTTGATACGGCAGCTCCATCTAGAGACTATTAAATGTCTGATCTGGGGCGCGAGTCTGGAGAATCCGGACTGTAGATATCATCAGAAGTAAAAAAAGTAAGTTGCTTTCAGACATGCTTTATCACTCATGCTTTGTGTGGTGCAAAACCTTGTCCAAACGGCATGACGTCTGATATCTCGCGTGAAGCTTTTCCTGGGATTCTGCTGCTGCAACAAAATTGTCTTCGAAAATAAGGCTTCTGTGCCTCAGTGTGAGTTAAGCGAAAGCACTTGAGTGTAAAAGTGAACAAAATGCCCAGTTGTCACCAACAGAAGCAATCCCTAGTTACGTAGCATTTTATTCGAACCCTCCGTTGAGAACTCAGTGCCGCTAAACCGAAGTGAGTCGTTCTTGATGGTGACTGAGGTAAAAAAGCTGATGAGTACCCGAACGCCACCATCCATTGGAGAAACCAGCAGTTATTACAAAAGAAAATTTCTTAGGAATAATTTGGCGTGTTTCTGAGGCAAGGGTAACTGGATGAAGCAAGCCGGTTTCCCTGTTGGTCATCCAGATGACGGAGGCTTTTGAGAAGTGCACAACTTTATCGTGATCTGCAATGTCCAGATAACAGATCCAGAGGATCATCGGATTTATTTGCATTCATTTTGGCAGAAATTGATTGTTCTTCCATGCTCATCAATTCTGTCGGAATCCACTAGATGTATGCACAGAAACAATATGATCCGGTTCCTATGGATCACTTTTCCACGTCGACAAAGACCAGTGAATAGTTCCTCTAAGGTTGTCCCTAGTTCTCCGGCCGCACTCCCAGTTGTTGTTGATTAATGCCGTCAATGGTACGCTTTTTTACATACATCGGATTTTGCTTCTCAGGATTTCATTAACCGGGTAAGTTTTGTTTGATAACCCTTCTCTCAACACTACCAACCTGTGTACCTATCCTTTTCAGGTCCCTTGGCTTTCGTCTCAAAAGAATTCTTTGCCCACTGTTTATTCATCATACTCAATCGTATCTAGTTGATTCTATAATAGACAGGATTATTTGTCTGCCAGCTGCCTATCATTTTTCGCTTAGATATAATCTTCGGCTTATCAACAGGTGTGAACACCGTGCACCTGTGAAAACATAGGAATAGGTGTGATCACAGTGAACGAGGGGAAGTCACCATGATCGAACAATGCACAGCCATCTACCCCACCTTCTTAAGTCATCGAAAAAACAATTTACCCAGCTAATGCGATTGTCTGCGGTCAGTTGTGCGTGCGAACCAATTTTGGCATCATCTGGAATTCGATCCCTCCCAAAAGGGTTTGCCAAACTTTTACGACCTTCTTCTTGAATTGATTTGCTCTCGAAGCTTTGGGAATTCGACACAGGGTGGTTACAATGGTCATCCCAGATGATTAGCGGATACACGTACACTGTCTCCCTCACGGCTTGTGTTTGTTCCTCATGTCACAACTCGTATCACGAAACAGCAACATGACATGAATCCGAACTTTGGTCATCAGTGGGGTCTGTGAACTCGTTAAGAGCACAAAATGTTTTCGTATTGTGGTTTTTTCACGATCCATTCAACATATATTAAAACAGAACACGGCCAACCGACACACGGTCGGCACAGCGCACGTATTTGACACACTCATTACAACGGCCGACGCTCGGGAGTCACACGGACGTCGCACGGACGTCGCTCAGAAGACGACGCCCGTCACTTCACACAGCACTTTGACCTGAGTCACTTCATACCTACGCACGACTCACTGTGCAAGAAAAGTCTGGGCTAAATGTGCTTTGGTTAGCAACACGAAGCAGGCCAGACTTCAACGCGCTCAATCAATACTTCAGTACGCTCGGTCAAGACACACTTTCAATAAAACTGTGTCCATAAAAAGTCAGCGGCGTCCACAATACCTTAGCAAACGCAGAACTCGACAAGTCCTTTTCGTGAGTCTGGGTGTGCGTAATCCGCTGGCAACACAGTCTTAGCTGTGCACTGTAAACAACTTGTTTACTGTTAGTCTTACTTACCTTCTGACACAACCCGTAGTAAAAACAATAGTGCTTATAAATTTGGTGAGCCCGACGTAAGCCCGCGCAGTTGTTTGTTGGTCACCCTTGGCGCATTAATTGCGCGAAAAATCCACCGTGAAAATACCACGGGCCAATGGAGCCAGCCATTTTAATAATGGGCAGGAGATGCCGGAAAAATTAATCATGAAAAAAAAACAAGCTTTAGTTGCTTACTAATATCTTCCACGGGTATTCGTAGTGAATTAGGACAATCTGAACACTCATGTGTGATGAAAAACCTTCATGAGCATCTGAGCTTCCTGAAGTTTGTTGGCCAATCTTGCGGACTCTAGGACGAACTATCGTGTGTTCATTCAGTATACCGAGTGGACTAGGTCACCAGGCACGATTGCCAATTTTACCTGGAAAGCGAAGCAGCCACTGTACGAAGACCCCTCAAACATATGGGAAACGCTTGGTCGCATGCACACTACCTAGTGTGATCAACACAGTTTCTTGTGCTGGTCACACCGCTTCGCCGCTGATTTGCTGATGTAGACCGTCAATATCCACGTTTCTGAGGCCACAGTTGTTGAGGACCTGAAGTCATCTA